TACCTGTAATACCTACAGCATGTTCTAATCGCTCTAAAGCTGTTTCTGTGCTGTGATGAGCTCTGAAACCTGACTGAAACTCTTCAAATAAACCATTCCTCTGCAGATGATCTGTTAGCTGTTTGACAACTACTCTTTCAAGGATGTTTGATATGAAAGGAAGATTGGAGATTGGCATATAATTAGCTAAGGCAGCTGGGTCTAGAAATGGCTTTTTAAGTAAAGGTTTAACTACAGCCAGGTTGAAGGTACATATGTGATTATTAGAGATAGGTTGATCATATTTAAGACTAAAGCATTAATCAATGGCAGGACTTCTTTGAGCAGTTTTGTAGGAATGGGGTGTAAAAGACACGTTGATGGTTTGGAGGAAGTAATTATTGAAGTTAACTCAGAAAGATCAATTGGAGAAAAAGAGTCTAACTTAACATCAATGGTACTAAAAGTAGCTGTAGATAATATTACATCTGTGGGATGATTATTGGTAATTTTTTCTCTAATGACTAAAATTTTATTTGTGAAGAAGTTCATGAAGTCATTACTAGTTAATGTTAAAGGGATGGTTGGCTCAACAGAGCTCTGACCTTTTGTCAGCCTGGCTACAGTGCTGAAGAGAAACCTGGGGTTGTTCTTATTTTCTTCAATCGGTGATGAGCCAATTAATAATTGATCAACAAATCGATTAACTCTGCCTTACAGAAACCTGGTTACAGCAGGATGATTATGTTAGTATAAATGTATAAACACCCCCGAGTCATACTAACTATCATAAACCTCAAAGCACAGAGGTGGCAGCAATATTCCTGACCAGCTTATTAATCAACCAAAGACCAAGACAGACATTCATGCTGATGCTCAGCCCTGTCCACCCCAGCTGGAAAACTCAAAAACCAGTTTGTGATTATCTATCGTCCACCTCGGCCTTACTCAGAGTTTCTGTCTGACTTCTCAGACTTTTCATCTGATTTAGTGCTCAGCTCAGATACAATAATCAATGTGGGTGATTTTAACATCTTCCAACATATAGTATAGAAACTGAACATTTAGTGGTGTTTCCTGAAAACCCTCTCTGATAACAAGCTGCTGTGATTAGAAGCGAAGGCAGAAACTTGTACAGCAAATACGATCTGTGATCTTTTTGTTCCGTGTTGCATTAAATATGCTGTCATAAATAACTGATGAGGACATGTTGGAATAGGTAGAGAGGAGTTGTCTTTCCTTTCCTCACAGGGAGATGTCCACTCCTGGAGATGTAAGATGAGCCAAGGGCTGGACTACGCCGCAAATAAGGGAGAAGCCAAGTCTAAACAGTGGCTACGCCTCAACTTTTTAACCAGTCATATTAGAATTCTGTTTGTGTGTCTCATAATTAAAGTGCTTGCTGCTTGTGTGCAGTGGCCTTTCTATGTCTGGAGGTCTGTGGCGCCTTGTAAAATTAACTTATTAACTTTAACTGTGTGATAAATTTTGAAAACTTATACTTTGAGTTTATTTGTCTTTTCTCAAAAAGAAAAATAACCCAACAGTGTGTGTAATCTACTCAGTGTAACCTGAAGATGTGTTAGAATTATCACTACTGATGACTCGTCAAAGATTTCATAATGTTGGCAGGTGCATTTTAAACGGAGCCAGACTATTTGTTATTCGCTGCTTCCAGGATTTATGTATGGCAAGTCCAACGTGACAAAACTCTTCTCGAGTTCGACACATTTCATTCACCGAATGCTCGATGTCTTAAATGAAAATGAATAATAGGAGAAAAAGACACATTCAGTAGGTCAGAGTTTTTCAGATTTTCTGTGTTTTATTGAGGATTAGCTTGGTGCTGAAACCTCTCATATGTGACATGCTCAGTTGGCAGCGATGGTCTGGTCGATCCAGGCACGCAGCTTGGTGACACGGGCATAGACTGCAGGAGTGGAGGTAGAGCAAGTTGAGCTTCCCCAGGACACAATACCAACCAGAGTCCAGGCTCCAGATTTCTCACAGACCAGAGGACCACCAGAGTCACCCTGAAAATTAAGAAGAAATAAGACATTATAAAAAGCTAAATGGTAAATGGACTGGTTTTCTACATTATCTGAGCACTCAAAGCACTTTACACAACTTGCCTCATTCACCCATTCGGCCATGCGCTTTTGTCAATGCTCTTTTGATGCATCGGAGCGCAGCTTTGTATGTTGCCGAAGGATATTTGGCAACATACAAATCAGCAACCTTCTGATTAGTAGGTTTCCTGATCTAACGCCTGACCCACAGCCATCGCATAAGAAGCTCAGGATCAGTGCTTCTGTAATGGATGGAGGTCCCACTCACCATGCAGGAGGAGACTCCGGAGGCTCCAGCGCAGATCATCAGATCAGTGACTTGGCTGCCCCAGTAAGACTGGCAGTCAGTGTTGGTCAGCAGGGGCAGGGAAGCCTGCTGCAGACGGGGTGGTGTGCTGCCAGCTGGATCACACACACAAACACATCGGACATTAGAGACTTTTCTTATCATGCTCTATCAATCCTGTTTTAGCACAACTGTTAAAGCTCCACCTGGTGGTCTCATTACAGTCCAAACCCACGTATATGTGATTGTTTGGAATCTGCTTCAAAAAAGTGGGTGAGCTCTTACCGTTGTAGCGGGTCAGACCCCAGCCAGTGGTCACACACCTCATGCCTCCGGGGAAGTTGTCGGAAGTCTCGGCCACACAAACTGGGGAAACACGTGAGCCCAGTTGGGCAGGGGTGGCCAGCTTGATGAGTGTGATGTCGTTGTTGATGGTGTAACTGTTGTA